TCCCATCGCGAATGGGACTTAGTCTCTGCAGCTGAAATAAGGCTGAAAAAAACGGCTGAAAAAAAGACTAAGTCCCATCGCCGAATGGGACTTAGTCTCTGCAGCTGAAATAAGGCTGAAAAAAACGGCTGAAAAAAAGACTAAGTCCCATCCGAATGGGACTTAGTCTCTGCAGCTGAAATAATTTCCCATTTACTGAACCAAGTGGGAAATAGCAAGGCAGGCACAAAGGGTTTGCACCAGGTCTGGGGACACAGGGGACACCGTCTTAAAGGGGCCGTGTCCCCAACAAGTCTGGGGACACGGCCTTAAAGGGGCAGTGTCCCAATCTTCCTGATGTCCCAAAAAAGGTGTTTAAAGGGCCAGCACCAGTCACATAAAGAGTCCATAAGCCCCAATATGCCCACCGACAGTCTTAAAGGGCCATACACACCAAATAAAAGTGCATACATTTTCACAATCTCCCAGGGGCCATAGTCATGCGGGAGGAGGCTGGCAAAGAGGCTTCTCCACAACCCAGGGAAACAGGGCAATTTGCCATTTAAAGGGCCCGTTACAAATAGCAGTTTGTAACAAGGTGTCAATCCATATCTGCCAAGTGACCCGATGTAGGGGAACAGTCCCTATTCTGCTCTGTGTCAGTGTGTATCAGGGATCCTTAGGACAGGTGTCAATCCATATCTGCCAAGTGACCCTATGTAGGGGGACCAGTCTCTATTCTGCTCTGTGTCCGTGTGCATCAGGGGCTCTGAGGACAGGTGTCAATCCATATGTCAAGGTGTCAACATGTCATATGTCAGGTGTCAATCCATATTGATTGTGATTTAGGAATGTTAGGTGATTTCTGCCCTTTATGGATTAAAACCAGACTCTGTATCAACTGTGTAATTTTCCATGGGAGTTTTGCCATGGATCCCCCTCCGGCATGCCACAGTCCAGGTGTTAGTCCCCTTGAAACAACTTTTCCATCCCTATTGTGGCCAGAAAGAGTCCCTGTGTGTTTTAAAATTCGCCTCCCCATTGAAGTCAATGGCGTTTCGGGCGGTTCGCCGGTTCGCGAACATTTGCGGAAGTTCGCGTTCGCCGTTCGCGAACCGAAAATTTCGGGTTCGCGACATCACTAGTTATTGCAAAGAGAAATTACAATTTTCTGTCATGGACCGAAGACCCAACAGTTTAGTCTGCTCTAAGGCATTTTAGGCAGCCGCAAGGCCCCAGTCATACACTGTCAGTAAGATGATATAAAATCATATATATTAATTTCACATATTACCTGCCGACAAGAAACGTACCGGCCAATACATTCCACCATATCCCTGAAGTGGGGGAATAAATTCACTGCAAACACTTCACACTAGAGCTGGTTTTAGCTCTACCGCATGTCAGTAGGCCATTTTGGATTTCCTTTTGGTGGAGTTTTTATTATATTTTATACATATTGCACTATAAGTACTTTTTTTCTCTTTTATGTCCTTGGACTTCGATTACCTGGAAAACATATTTACCTGAAGATACAGGCAAAGTTTTATAGACTTTCTCACACTTTTATTCTCATCCTGGACTTTTTGCTTGTCTTTTTTACGTGTATATGATTTTATATCATCTTATTGACAGTGTATTATCTGTTTATCATTTGTCTTATTGAGTAACACCTTGATCCCTAACCCCCTTGCGCACCCTATTGCTCTGTATTTTTGTTAACTCCAAGGTCTGTTCCTTATGAGGTTGTAGGTGTCATATATATTGAAACCGTACATTTTGGTATTGATTACTGTAATCTATTGGATTATTTCCTCATTGTGATAATATTTGTATACTAAGTTGTTTAATAAGTTGTGTGGTATCAGAGTATATACAATTAATTAAAATAAATTCTGATATTTCTGAAAAGGTTTGACAATGTTATTGATTTCAGAAGTGGGATACTGTATACCTGAATGAATTGTTAGTATATTTAGTTTAGTAAACTGTAAGGGCTGTCTTGATTCAAACATCAATGTTTAGGTAATAAAGGCTATGTAATTAAATTCTTCATTGAGCCCCTGAGGGCTCAACGTTTTAAAGGTGAAAATCCATATGGATTCCTGCTGTAGCAATTTTGGGTTAACATTCCCCCCTCTTGGAGATGCATTACGTTTTTCAATGACTTGAAAGGTGAGATTTGATGCTTCACCATTGTGAAATGATATATATATCTAGAAATTGGGGTATCACTTGCTGAATTTATGTTATATATTTGTTGTAGGATCCTACGGCAAAACTGTTGCGTAGTCTTACCGATATACTGGATCCCACATTTGCAATTAGCCAGATAGATAACATAGTTTGAAGAACAATTGATATAGGTCCGTATTTTGAAGGTTTGATTTGTGATAAAGGATTTAACGCCTTTTGTCGGGTTGGTATGCTGGCAGGCCTTACAATGGCCGCAGCGGAAGACACCTTTAGTGGGTGTTAGCCATGTATGTTGTTGTGCTGATTGTGAGAGATGGCTATGCACTAGTATGTCATTAATATTTTGAGCTCTCATGGCTGTCAGGGATGGTTTCTTTGTGACTACTTGATTTTTTACTTCATCACTTTGTAGAATTGGCCAAAACTTGTTGATAATGTCCCTCACTGGTTCCCAACCGGTGTCATATTTGGCGATGCGTCTAACCACCGTTTCTCTCCCTATGTAAGATACCTGATTGGGAGGTAGTGCTTTTTGAGTTCCATTCTTGGTACGATTGAAGGCCTTTTTAAGAAGTCTTCTAGGATTACCTTTCTCCAAGAAGAAGGTCTTTAAAATGATAGCCTCTTTGATGAAGTCCTCATCATTCGTACAATTTCAGCGGGCCCTTTTTTGGGATGTTTAAACGTCAATTAATAAAAGTTATATTTTAAAGTGCTCGCTCCACACTAATCTATTTTGGTAGCACAATTACAGGGTTCAAACCCCTTGACAAAGTAGCGAAGCAAAGTTTGTCACTTGTTCTCAACTAGTGGTGGACAAGATCGATCTCTCTTTCCCACTTATATTTGTGGTAAATTGACTTTCCAAGATATGCCCAAGTAAGAATAAATGTTCTCTCTTGCTCTTACTGCTGAGATTCAGATACTTATAAATTATGTGGTTGCCAGAAATGCCTATACTTCCTCAGAGACTCAACAAGCTGCAACTGTTCACGCTGCTCATTTTGACCTGGTCTTACTTGGCAGCCAAATTGACTCATTATATATATGGTGTACCCCGCCAAGAGTCCCTATTTAGTTGGGACACTCCGTAAATATCTCTGTCCCTCTTTTATGTACTAATGTCCCTCTGAGTTTATACCAAAGAACCACAGCAATAATACTTAACAGTAATGTGTCTTTAACCTTTAAGGATGGAGCCACAACAAAACCTGGAATTTGCTCTATATGTTGTTCAACCATAATTCATCCACACATATATATAATTTTGTTCAGGAGAAACGGGGCTTTCATTTCATATCACATATATATGAAACATAATTGAATGTAAATAAAATCTAAACAAGTATGAGAAATTACATTTTTTTTTCAAGTTCTACGTGACATTTTAACTGTGAATGTCATAATACTGTTAGATTTTACCGCAATAAAATACACATATTTGTATTCAGCAATGTCTCACAAGTACCACAGTACTCCCCATGTACAGGATTTATGAGTTTTTGGGAAATCTATAGAGGTCCATTGAAATTTGCCAGATTGGTTTGTTGCCTTTGAGACCGTATGGTAGCCCAGGAATGAAAATTAACCTCATCTTGGCATACCATTTATACAAGTAGACAACCCAAGGTATTTAAAATGGAATATGTCCATTTGTTTTTAGTCACAAACCCTGCCCATTTTTTTTAATGGCTACTTAGTCACAAACCCTGGCCAAAGTTAGCTTTTGTATATTTTTTTTGTATTTTTCACAAATAAACTGCCCTTTCACCGATTATATCATCAGTATTATACATTTTACTGCTCTAAAATACTCAAATTAGTGTAGAGTCAGGGCCGGATTAACATAGGGGCTGATGGAGCTGCAGCTCCAGGCCCAGGCTCAGGCCCATTTAAAAAAAAAAATTTTTTTTTTTTTTTTTTTTTACACGCTAATCTTAGGTTTGCCACCTGACTGGTATTTTACTGCCACAGCCGGTATTTGAGGCTGCCTGGCTCTGCAGTATAGCAGTAATACCGGCCATTCAATTGCAGGTATTTTCTCAGTATAAACTGAGATTACGCTGAAATACCAGCACCGGCCAGTAAGGGTTACTGTGTGTGGAGAGAGGCAGGGATAGGAAGTTACAGCATATCCCTGCCTCTCTCTACTACTCACTGATCCGTGGGGGAGCAGCTACACAGCACAGAGAGTCCAGACAGCAGCTCTACAGCTCAGGTAAGTGAGGGATGGGAGGGGAGCAGGAGACATGGGGACATTGAGACACAAGGGGGCACTGAGACACTAGAGGACACAGCCACTAGGGGACACTGGGAGACCTGGGGGCACTAAGACACTTGGTGACCCTTGAAAACATGGGGACACTGAGACACTAGGTGACGCTGTGAGACATGGGAACACTGTGAGATAAAGGGACATTGGGAGACACTGAGACATTGGGACACAAAGACACTAGAGACACAGTGTCCCCATGTCTCCCAGTCAGTGTCCTCAGTGTCCCCATATCTCCCAAGTCACCCAGTGGCTGTGTCCCCAAATGTCTCAGTGTCCCCATGTCTCCCAGTGTCCACATGTCTATGCCCACAAGTGTCCCCATGTCTCCCAGTGTCTCCAAGTGTGTCTCCCAGCCAGTGTCTCTAGTGTCCCCATGTCTCCCAGTGTCCCCTAGTCTCCCAGTGTCTTTGTTCCAATGTCTCTCAGTGTCCCTAGTGTCTAGGTGTCCCCAAATGTTTCAGTGTCTTCATGTCTCCCAGTGCCTGTGTCCCTAGTGTCTCAGTGTCCCCATTTCTTCCAGTGTCCCAATGTCTGTATCCACAAGTGCCCCCATGTCTCCCAGTATCCCCAAGTGTCCAGTGTCCCCATGTCACTAGGATACTAGGGGACACATTGAGACATGGGGACACTGGACACTTAGGGATACTGGGAGACATGGGGGCACTTGTGGATACAGACATTGGGACACTGAGACATGGGGACACTGGGAGAAATGGGGACTGGGCGACATGGGGACACTGACACTGTGATACATAGGGACACAGACACTGGGTGACATGCTGGACTGAGACACTGGGAGACAGGGAGACATTGGGAGCAATCCATCTATACAGCAGAATCACACTGTGAGTAGTTTGTTGGTGATTTTGGCCAATCATCATCTCCTCATAAAGATAAATTGAATCAATGCATCTCTATGAGGAAAGTTCAGTGCCTGCAGAAGATGGAGACACTGAATGGCAGTGCTGCACACTAGGCCCCAGGAAGCACCTCTAGCAGCCATCTAAGAAGTGGCCAGTGGAGTGATTTTCTCTGAAAATACAGTGTTTACTGCAAAAAGCCTGAAGGGAATGATTCTACTTACCAGAACAAATACAATAGCTGTACTTGTTCTGGTGACTATAGTGTCCCTTTAAGTTTGGAAGCTTAAGAGGGATGTATGGGAACAAAACTTGTGTGGACTGGCTGACAATGAAATTAATTTAGATATTGCAGACTTTGGTCTCTCTAACACTGTGACATGGCCCCTTTCTTCTTCTGTTCACTTTGGAGACCTGCTGTGGATATGGGTACGGCCCGGCGCGAGATTTACACCCTCTCCCCCGGATTTTCAAGGGCCGGCGAGAGCTCACCAGACGCCGCCGGAACCGCGACGCTTTCCAAGGCGCGGGCCCCTCTCTCGGGGCGAACCCGTTCCAGGGCGCCCTGCCCTTCACAAAGAAAAGAGAACTCTCCCCGGGGCTCCCGCCGGCTTCTCCAGGATCAGTCGCGTCGCCGCACCAGTGGCTCGTTCACCCGCCACGGAAATTCCCTGCCCGATCAGTGAGTGAGCAGACCGGTATCATTGTACCGGTCTGCAGGCCTAATATAGCCCGACCCGCCAAGGTCCAAGGCTACTGTTCCTCACAGGGGGATGGCAGACCCCCCACGGACCCAGGTCACGGGGGGTCTGCGGTTTTCCACAGGGGTCTCGGTACTTTGCAGCAGCATAACCCCCCCTCTCCCTCCTCCACTACACAGGAGCAAGGTGGTTGCTAAATGGCTCCAAACACATGTAACATGTAATTTGTATCAGTTGTATCAGTTGTACGGGCACCAATGTTCACGTCAGTGAACAGGTTCCCAAACTTTATTCCGGCTCTTAACTTAACCCCCCACCCCCCTCTCTCCCTAACAATAGCTGGGAACTCTTATGTAATATTCCCCCCCCCCCCAAGCAGTAGCTCGACACTAATGTACCGGCTGCACCGGCTTCCAATCAGCCAGCACAGATACCGGGTATAGAGGCAAGGGGCCCGGAGGGTACACATGGAGTTCACAACCCCCCCACCCAACCACCCATCCCACCCCCAACACAGAGGCACGAAGTTATTTTCCTACCATTTACCAGACCAACGAGGTCCCTGGCCATAGGTTACACGCCTGCTGCACACACCGCAGACTTCCCACAAACTCACACGGGGATATTCCCCGCGGCGGCTCCACATCACAGCAAGACAGGTGCTGTGAGTACCCGAGTTGCTCCCGGAAGTATCCCCCCAGCGAACCTTCATGGCAAACATCAGCCACACGCCAATTCCTTGCAGGGGAGGAGTTTTACGGGGCACGCTCCCTCCATAACCGACGCTGGTCTATTCTGCCGGCTAGGCGCTGTCACAGCAAGCTCCGCGTGCCTCATTAGTAGAGGGGCAGGAGGAAAAAATTTGCAGTAACAAGCTCACCACTCTCAGCCATCCCAGGCCTCATTGAGTGAGTGACACTGTCAGTAGTTTTCCACCAATTATAAAAAATTGTTCATATATAAGCATTTTTGCAATAAAGGTTTTTGTGTTAAATTTTATGACAGTTTTTATAGTCATGGTGGCTACTCTGCTATGTGCATACTCGGATGTTCAACTTAAGGTGCAACTAAGCATTCACTATACATATGTGTATTCCATGGCCTTATCTTTACATATGGCTTAAGCAAACTGTTGGCACTTCAAGTAGTATGGAAATTAATTGTCCCAGGTCAGGTTTCAGGGATATGTTTTATTTTGTAATTTCTGTCATACAGGTCTACTTCGTGTTTATAGACCAAGTTACAACACAAGAAGGGTTTTTCTTGTAATTGTTACGTGTATTAGGTATCAGGGACAAGTTCTCAAGTCATATCATTCCATTAGTACGTACACGATAAGTTTCAAACATTCGTGTTGTTAACCCCTTAAGGACACATGACATGTGTGACATGTCATGATTCCCTTTTATTCCAGAAGTTTGGTTCTTGAAGGGTTAATCAGACATAATACGCCACTCAGGGCACAAGCACATAAATGTACGCTGGGTACATTGGTACCAAGCAGACAGTCACAATACTACCATTACTTATTCTGACATATGTTACAGACGCAACATGCCAAGCTTAGACATAGCAACATAGAATGTGATGGCAGATAAGAACCATTTGGCCCATCTAGTCTGCCCAAATTTTCTAAATACTTTCATTAGCCCCTGGCCCATTGCCGGATCCAGGGGGGGGGCAACGGGGCAATTGCCCCCCCCGAGAAATCCGCCGGTCTCCCTCCCCTGCCAGCCGTGCAATGTGCCTGCGGACCGGGGAGGAAGATCACAGATCTCCCTCCCCGGTCCGCAGGCACTGTGCTGGCGGCCGGCGGCGGAGGGAGAAGGAGTGAGAGAGGACCCGGAGCTCAGGCTGCAGCTCCTCCGGGTCCTCCTCTCGTGAGATTTGGAGCGTTGCCGCGGTTACCACGGCAACGCTCCAAATCTCGCGAGAGTGAACTCTAGCCCGGGAGCGCGGGCTAGAGCTCACTCTCCACACTGGACCACCAGGGAATCCCACTGGGACCACCAGGGATAGAAATATGTCCCCCCTCCTCCCCAGTAAAGGTAAGAAGGGAGGGGGGACATAGAATATTTGTTTTATTAAATAAAATTAAAAAAAAATATTATTTAAAAGCCTCCTCCCCCTATACACACACTGCCCCAATTACACACACACTGCCCCCTATACACACACTGCCCCCATTACACACACTGCCCCCCTATACACACACTGCCCCCATTACACACTGCCCCCCATTACACATACTGCCCCCCAAACACATACTGCCCACCCAAACACATACTCTGCCCACCCCATTACACACACACACTGCCCCCATTACACACACTGCCCCCCATTACACACACACTGCCCCACAAACACTGTCCCCATACACACACTGCCCCCCATTACACACACTGCCCCCCATTACACACACACTGCCCCACAAACACTGTCCCCATACACACACACTGTCCCCATACACACCTGTCCCCCACACTTCCCCACAAACATTGTCCCCATATACACACTGCCCCACAAACACTGTCCCTACACACACACTGCCCCCATACACACACTGCCCCACAAACACTATCCCCATACACACACTGCCCCCCCATACACACACTGCCCCACAAACACTGTCCCAACACACACACTGCCCCACAAACACTGTCCCCATACACACACTTCCCCCCCATACACACACTGCCCCCCAAACACTGTCCGTATCCCCAGTTCCTTCAACCCTGATTTAATTAAGATTCATTCCATAGAGGCAAGTTGATATGGCGACCTAGGTATTTCTCCCAGGCACCTCATGCCTTAGAGATAGAGGTCCTGCGAGGCCAACACCCATCCTCCATGAAAGAGGTAACAAAGCCCCACGGCCCAAATTCATAGCTAGACGCCTTGCATGTTGCATAGCAAGGGAATCACTCGTCACACCCCCTCGGCAGATCAAAGACTCATCCCTTCTAAGCCCACACTCAGCAGATCACCCCCTCACGCCAACCATAGGTAGAGCCGACCCAGCCACTTGGCAACCAGTAGGGACTCACCGATCACCAGTCTAACTAACTGTTTCACCACTTCGGCACTCGTTAAACCTCTCAATACACCCTCAAGAGGAACTCATTATTCCTACGTACCTATTTCAGTATGTCCAAAGGTCAAGAAGGAGGAGACAACATTTCTATTCCATATACTCCACATAGGACCGCCTCCCCTACACAGAAAGGGGACTCCAGCAGTCCATTCTCAATTAGATCGTGGACCATCCCACGATTCACGGCAATATCAGGCAGGGCAACATAACCCTTTACAGCTATTACCTGCAAAGCAGAACTATTCAGGCTACTGCAAGCCAATACTAACAAATCAGGCATGGGAGAAGGCACAAGTGGCACAAGCAATACCAACCTGTATATCAGGATCGCATCTATAGTAACATACATGAGGCAGATTGTAGCGGAACGCCAATATTAAATCCACGAATTCCGCTGGTTCAGGAAGTAATCCACAGTCAAGCGCTGGAAACAACAAGGCAATATCCCAAATCTCCCAGTAACCGGACGAAACACAGTTCTGAGAGTCAACTGAGGTCTTTTAATTCAGCTCCACAATTTATACAAGTCCCCATGCAAGGGGTTTCCTGAGTCCCTTCCCAGGGACATTCCCAGAAGGGACTACATGGGGGACTTACAGTACAAGGCATTTCTCCCATCAGGCACTGCTGCACGAGAGGGATCCTCCCCCTGGAATATACTGTTAAGTGGATTATCCCTCCGTGCAGCAGAACCGACAATTTATATTAAAATACATAACTTTTCGAATATGCAGTCTATTTGCACGAATGGACGTTCGGTAGATAGCTGGTGTCTGAGCGCATCATTCGTGAGATTACCACTCAGATCTCAGCTAAAACAACCGAACGCCGCACGAAAAACACATTTATTGAAAAACATATTAAAAAGACCGATTGCCTTCCAGGGAATGAAATACCGAACGGCCCGGAACTCCCGAACGTCCTTTTTAGTACCATGCGCTCGACGACCTAACACCGCTGAGGGAACAAAGGATCCAAGATGGCCGACCGCCGCATGGTCGGTAGTCGAACGGCGGCCACCTAGGAGAGCCTCTAATTACCGATTGCAACATTGTTGCAATCGGTTAACAAGCGCCACACGCCTCTAAGTGTGTGGGCTATTATATGTAGTGTTTTCGGTTCACGAACGGCCTGCCAAAGTGCCGGTCGTGAAACGAAAGGAAAACCCAATACAAATAGCTATCTGCATTCGGCGGATAGCAAACACAGGCAATTCAAGGTATTACAGCCAGCATACATTGTACATAGTTGAACACATATCCCCACCGACATACAGGCAACCCTTAAAGGTACAGTCTCTTGATATAGTCCAAGTGGCTAGGTTTGCCACACAGATGAACGATAGTCTAGAGAGACTGGAAGCCATAAGTTGTCCAGTCGGGACACCAGAACCACTCGCACGGATATTCCGGACCTTCCCCATTCCCAACCCAGTAAACCTAACACACCCATCAGCTTAGGGCCTCAAGTCGTTACACTAACCATATGGTGCCGGCAAACCTCAAGAAGGACATCCTGGAGGGCAAGGACGTTAATCTTGTTTGGCGTCTCATTGCCTCCCAGGATGTCACAGAGTACCGCTCATACACTTAGGGTGATATCTCAGTTGTCCTTAAGGCCAGAAAGACAAGACTGGGAATTATTCATCAGTATAGTTATAACCTTTATGGTCTAGTGTCAGTACAGACACTACCACATTCCACAAGTCTCAGCCTATATTCCTGGCAATTGTGTCCTGTACGTCTACCCTCAGGTCATTGGACTCAGCAGGTTTATGGTATATTTATTTAGTTATGGCATTTCTGCACCTCTATCAGGTTCCCCGTGTAGACCCTACAACAATCATATGTTACGCTGAAAGTTACTGTATGATATCGGTATGTCCATATTTCAATTATAGCTATGCTGTCAGAACCAGTTACTTTCAAATTATCTGCAACTTAAAATTAACCACCAACCCCACCCCATTAAACCCCATTCAGACTTGCGTTATCTTCCAGTTCCACAGGAACTACATTGGGCCTCTCTCAAACCTCTCATGCATAGTCCTCAAACTAAGGCAGCTATGGGCCTTTGCAACATACTTCAGGTAACCTTAGTGGACAACTACATCTTATTTGCAACCCCTCATTAGGGCACAAAGTTCACACATCATCTGGATAGGAATGTATGCGTAGAGTTCAGCTGTGAAGCTTGCTACCAGTAAAGCAACCACGTCTTATACATCTGTTATATCTTGTAATGTCCACATACAGTCACACAGTGGCTCTCCTCACAACCCTACCTACATGGCCTACACCTGGCCAACTCAGAGTGTAATGATTCCCTCATAACGGACGTCCTCCTTACCTCTCCTATTTTTTTATGTCAGTCTAGCATATTGCCAAATTAAGACATTCATTATGATATGTACTGCATTTATTATGTGGGTCATTTAAGTTTCAATGGGAAGACCTTACTAGTCAGACACCATTGTGCTTACATAGCCAATTCCATACTGGACTATTCCCACCTCACTGCTGCGTTTCAGACATGTTCATATACATGATATTTATCCTATCCTTCCTGCTCCCCTGGCTACTGCTCTGCTCTGGCTACCAGGGTACGACTCTCCACATTAACCATACATACGTTTAATGCCTATTGTACGGCCTCACTCAGCATCTAGGCTTTTAAGTAATTCCATCTTACAGAGACAACCATTACCTTATCATACCATGGCCAACTTGTATTCACAACACACTCTTTATACGTTACATACGACCCGTTAAAGGGCTATCCACTATAGAATAATGCCAGCCCCTCACTTAGGGCTATTACATACGGCATAGGAATTGCAAGGTTGACATAAGTTTGCATTTTTTGTCACAACCTACAACAGCATGCCTCTACACGTGGCCCCTCACTAAGCCATCGCTCTCATGTTACTTATGGCCCACCGCAGGCAATCCACTATGACGCAATTTCGGACCCACATTTGGACAATTACATACGACCAAGATCACGGTAGACACGGTTGGACAGTTAGCATAAGGTAGGTGACCGGAAGAAGTAAGCCAGATTAAAGGGTTCATTAAGAACTCTGCACGCTTCAGGTGTATCCCATCACAGCCGCAGCAGCAACAGGGTGTCATTCATGGGCAAACAGACCGGTTCGAGGTTCCTGACAATTTGTCAATTGGTCACGTCATAAACAAGTCCGGTCTTGTATACCTTATTATGAATTCATCATGCTGACTAACGTAGGGGAAGCCGGTCACCAAATTTTATCTGGTATGTTACCAATTACAAGACAGCGGCTGACCAGTTATCTAGTCTTCAGTTTCAGGAGGTCCCTAACAATTGCCTCACGGATAGCCACGATCGCTCCCCAGCTCCAAGAATTAATCGATGGAACAAGAAGAGTGGCTAAAGTCACAGCAGGAATTCTCACAGTTGGGCCCTAAAAGAATACGCACACTACTATGACAGAGCTCACTGCATATATCGTAGTTTATGTCAGATCACCACCTTACAAACTGCTTCAAGAATACAATGTTGGGGGCTTTTGACAATTTTTGCCACATCACAATAATGTCATACAACACTATTAAGTTATATCTCCTGGGCATTTAACACCACATATTCTCAGTGACAAACACCATTCTCAAACCACCATATACTCGGCTTTTATGGTTTCCCATGACCAGAAAATTTACCATCACAGGGCAACACAATTACAGTTTTGCCTACGGTATTCTAACCTGTACAAAGACAGGATCACTACGTATTAACTTACCATCAACTAAGACCAGCCAGAGGGGTCACGAGGTACTGATTCAGTACTACCCCTCCAAGAACGCATACCTCAGCCAACACAGGAATTAGGGAATGCATTTGTGATATGTCATCGTAAGACGCTAACTCCATGTCTCATGTTATCGTAATAAACATATTTGATTACACTATATGGGTATTCCTTTTGCCCACTTATTTACAGGCCTACCACACACACGTCGGTTTCGGCACACCTCTACCGACTTTTTATTATTGTGATAAGTATACTCACTAGCTATTTCATACTATACTGAAATGGCCCCGACTACAAATTGGAAGGCAGGGCCTGAAGTTGTGGGAGGGGCTATGACCCTTTAAAAGGGACTCCCCCCTCCTACCTAACTTACCGACTGGTCCAGACGTACTTTTGGCCCACTCTTCTCTTCCTCTAGGCAATACTATTTAAGGTTGGCCCACTTATTTACAGGCCTACCACACACGACGGTTTCGGCACACCTCTACCGATTTTTGATTATTGTGATAAGTATACTCACTAGCTATTTCATACTGTACTGAAATGGCCCTGACTACAAATATATATATATATATATATATATATATATATATATATATAATTTAATTCTAAGTGTATTTTGATTATATATATATGTATTAATATCAAAATACTTTTATAATGAAATTGCACATAAATAACCTTCAAACCCTCTTTATTAAAATGTTTAGGTGGACTAATCACCTCAGTGAAGCTGCACAGCTATAATAAAGTTCTTTAAACATTTTAAGAGTCTATGTCATTTGCTTCCTCCTGCTACCTATTGAACGTTTGTGTGTTTAATCTCTGCTGTACATAATGTATTTTAATGTTTAAACACTGATTTTGTTGGAGGTACTAATAAATAAAAGCTTAATTTTACCAATAATCAATATATTTTAACTATTATGGCTTATTGGGATTGCCATGCAACCAATATCTGAAAATGCTTATTATCCCAGAGAAAAAAAAAGTCTTCAATTTGAGCCTGTAAAATTATCAAAAGAATTCCTGCTTGTTCTATATCAGACCATTCAGGCTTGGCAGCGGCTTCCATTAATATTTC